AGACACCATACCACGGCAAGCATGGAGCCCGCTCAGCTCACCGTCACCGTATGTCTCCTGGGTGCTGGCAGATGCGGTACTGCGTTGCTACACAGCAGCAGTTTATTGCCTTTGGCAGCAGACAGTGCTGTATGACTGGTAGCCGTCGTCGACGTATTCCTGGGTGCTCTTTTAACCGACCTCGATGAGGTCAGAGGCGCCTGGGTAAACATGGGAGTGACTCAGCCAGGTCATTTCCCTTTTTAAGTTTTGTTTCATGGCAATTCAGTCCTACCGGTAGTGCACTGTCTTTTAACCTCCAGCCAGCAGAAGACGATGGCCAGCAGTCATACTGCACCGTCTTCTGCCGAGCACCCAGGAGATGACGATGGCTAGCGGTCGTACTGCACAGTCTGCTGCCAGCAAGATGTACAAAGATAGATGAAGTGGCTCAAAACAAGAAATAGACCAGATTTGTTTTGTATTCATTTTCTCCTCCCTCCCTCCGTGAAATCAATGGCCTGCTAAACCCAGTTTTGAGTTCTATCCTTGAGGTTTTGAGTTCTATCCTTGAGGGGGCCATTCTGTTTCTCGCAAAGCCACCCCTTTGTTGATTTTAATTCCCTGTCAGCCAACCCTATAAGCCATATCATCAGTCGCCCCTCCCTCTGTCAGGGCAATGGTAGACAATCGTTTCGCGCCTTTTTTCTGTGCAGACGCCATACCACGGCAAGCATGGAGCCCGCTCAGATCACTTTGGCAGTTAGGAGCACATTAAACACCACACGCATTATCCAGCAGTATATGCAGCACCAGAACCTGGCAAAGCAAAACCGGACGAGTAGGTGACGTCAGCGCTGTGACGAGAGTGATGAGGACATGGACACAGACTTCTCTCAAAGCACGGGCCCTGGCAATGTGGGCATTATGGTGCTAATGGGGCAGGGTCGTGCGGTGGAATGCCAATTCTGGGCTCGGGAAACAAGCACAGACTGGTGGGACCGCATAGTGTTGCAGGTCTGGGACGATTCCCAGTGGCTGCGAAACTTTCGCATGCGTAAGGGCACTTTCATGGAACTTTGTGACTTGCTTTCCCCTGCCCTGAGGCGCAAGAATACCAAGATGAGAGCAGCCCTCACAGTTGAGAAGCGAGTGGCGATAGCCCTGTGGAAGCTTGCAACGCCAGACAGCTACCGGTCAGTCGGGAATCAATTTGGAGTGGGCAAATCTACTGTGGGGGCTGCTGTGATGCAAGTAGCCAACGCAATTAAAGATCTGCTGATATCAAGGGTAGTGACCCTGGGAAATGTGCAGGTCATAGTGGATGGCTTTGCTGCAATGGGATTCCCTAACTGCGGTGGGGCCCTAGACGGAACCCATATCCCTATCTTGGCACCGGAGCACCAAGCCGGCGAGTACATAAACTGCAAGGGGTACTTTTCAACAGTGCTGCAAGCACTGGTGGATCACAAGGGACATTTCACCAACATCAACGTGGGATGGCCGGGAAAGGTACATGACGCTCGCATCTTCAGGAACTCTGCTCTGTTTCAAAAGCTGCAGGAAGGGACTTTATTCCCAGACCAGAAAATAACCTTTGGGGATGTTGAAATGCCTATAGTTATCCTTGGGGACCCATCCTACCCCTTAATGCCATGGCTCCTGAAGCCGTACACAGGCAGCCTGGACAGTAGTCAGGAGCTGTTCAACTACAGGCTGAGCAAGTGCAGAATGGTGGTAGAATGTGCATTTGGATGTTTAAAGGCGCGCTGGCGCAGTTTACTGACTCGCTTAGACCTCAGCGAAACCAATATTCCCACTGCTATTACTGCTTGCTGTGTGCTCCACAATATCTGTGAGAGTAAGGGGGAGACGTTTATGGTGGGGTGGGAGGTTGAGGCAAATCGCCTGGCTGCTGGTTACGCGCAGCCAGACACCAGGGCAGTTAGAAGAGCACAGGAGGGCGCGGTGCGCATCAGAGAAGCTTTGAAAACCAGTTTCATGACTGGCCAAGGTACAGTGTGAAAGTTCTGTTTGTTTCTCCTTGATGGAAACCCCCCACCCCGCCTCGGTTCACTCTACTTCCCTGTAAGCTAACCACCCTCCCCTCCTCCCTTCAATCACGGTTTGCAGAGGCAATAAAGTCATTGTTGCTTCACATTTATGCATTCTTTATTAATTCATCACACAAATAGGGGATAACTGCCAAGGTAGCCCAGGAGAGATGGTGGAGGAGGGAAGGACAAGGCCACACAGCACTTTGAAAGTTTAAAACTTTAAAACTTATTGAATGCCAGCCTTCTGTGCTTGGGCAATCCTCTGGGGTGGAGTGGCTGGGTGGCCAGAGGCCCCCCCACCGCGTTCTTGTGCATCTGGGTGAGGAGGCTATGGAACTTGGGGAGGAGACGGTTGGTTACACAGGGGCTATAGCAGCCGTCTGTGCTCCAGCTGCCTTTCCTACAGCTCAACCATATGCTGGAGCATATTAGTTTGATCCTCCAGTAGCCTCAGCATCCTGCCTCCTCTCATCACGCTGCCGCCACCTTTCAGCTTCAGCCCTCTCTTCAGCCCGCCACTTACTCTCTTCAGCCCGCCACCTATCCTCCCGGTCATTTTGTGCTTTCCTGCACTCTGACATTGTCTGCCTCCACGCATTCGTCTGTGCTCTGTCAGTGTGGGGGGACAGCATGAGCTCAGAGAACATTTCATCGCGAGTGCGTTTTTTTCACCTTCTAGTCTTCGCTAGCCTCTGGGAAGGAGAAGATCCTGTGATCCTTGAAACACATGCAGCTGGTAGAGAAAAAAAAAGGGACAGTGGTATTTAAAAAGACACATTTTATAGAACAATGGGTACACTCTTTCACGGTAAACCTTGCTGTTAACATTACATACATAGCACATGCGCTTTCATTCCAAGGTCACATTTTGCCTCCCCCCACCGCGTGGCTAGCCCCTCATCTCTCCCCCCTCCCCATGGCTGACAGCGAGGAACATTTCTGTTCAGCTACAGGCAAACAGCCCAGCAAGAACGGGCACCTCTGAATGTCCCCTTAAGAAAAGCACCCTATTTCAACCAGGTGACCATGAATGATATCACTCTCCTGAGGATAACACAGAGAGATAAAGAACTGATGTTGTTTGAACACCAGCAAACATACACTGCAATGCTTTGTTCTACAATGATTCCCGAGTACATGCTACTGGCCTGGAGTGGTAAAGTGTCCTACCATGGTGGACAGAATAAGGCTGCCCTCCCCAGAAACCTTTTGCAAAGGCTTTAGGAGTACATCCAGGAGAGCAGCGAATGCCAGGGCAAATTAATCATTAAACATGCTTGCTTTTAAACCATGTATAGTATTTTAAAAGGTACACTCACCAGAGGTCCCTTCTCTACCTGGCAGGTCCGGGAGGCAGCCTTGGGTGGGTTCGGGGGGTACTGGCTCCAGGTCCAGGGTGAGAAACAGTTCCTGGCTGTCGGGAAAACCGGTTTCTCCGCTTGCTTGCTGTGAGCTATCTACAACCTCCTCATCATCATCTTCCTCGTCCCCAAAACTTGCTTCCGTGTTGCCTCCATCTCCATTGAAGGAGTCAAACAACACGGCTGGGGTAGTGGTGGCTGAACCCCCTAAAATGGCACACAGCTCATCATAGAAGCGGCATGTTTGGGGCTCTGACCCGGAGTGGCCATTCGCCTCTCTGGTTTTCTGGTAGGCTTGCCTCAGCTCCTTAAGTTTCAAGTGGCACTGCTTCGGGTCCCTGTTATGGCCTCTGTCCTTCATGCCCTGGGAGATTTTGACAAAGGTTTTGGCATTTCAAAAACTGGAACGTAGTTCTGACAGCACGGATTCCTCTCCCCAAACAGCGATCAGATCCCGTACCTCCCGTTCGGTCCATGCTGGAGCTCTTGCGATTCTGGGACTCCATCATGGTCACCTCTGCTGATGAGCTCTGCACTCACCTGCAGCTTGCCACGCTGGCCAAACAGGAAATTGAAATTCAAAAGTTCACTGGCCTTTTCCTGTCTACCTGGCCAGTGCATCTAAGTTGAGAGTGCTGTCCAGAACGGTCACAATGGAGCACTCTGGGATAGCTCCTGGAGGCCAATACCGTCTAATTGTGTCCACAGTACCCCAAATTCGACCCGGCAAGGCCAATTTCAGCACTAATCCCCTTGTCGGGGGTGGAGTAAGGAAATCGATTTTAAGAGCCCTTTAAGTCGGAAAAAAAGGGCTTCGTCGTGAGGACGGGTGCAGGGTTAAATCGATTTAACGCTGCTAAATTCGACCTCAACTCCTAGTGTAGACCAAGGGACAAAGACAGAGTTTCTGCCTAATGGCTTGTGTTTACAAGGTATTCCCAAGACTGTCTAGAAAGCATTACACTCTTCACAGTGTTTTGTGTGCATTAAATGTTTGTTCACTATAGTATCATAGAATATCAGGCTTGGAAGGGACCTCAGGAGGTCATCTAGTCCAACCCCCTGCTCAAAGCAGAACCAATCCCCAATTTTTGCCCCAGATCCCCAAATGGCCCCCTCAAGGATTGAAATCACAACCCTGGGTTTAGCAGGCCAATGCTCAAACCACTGAGCAAATGCCCACGGGAACAGGACAGTAATCAGTTCTCCACGGCAGAGGGAAGGTGATAGAAACAGAGAGTGAACAGACTGGAAGGGGCAGCAGGAACAGTAAGTGGGGAGGGAGGTTCCCAGCTCCCAGCCCTGCCCAGATCCATTCCCTGCACACCCTGGGTAGACTGACTCTCCTGGAAACAAGGTGAGGAGCTGACAGAGCAAAAGCCACTTCCTGTCCCAGACGAGTCCCCGCACGGCTGGGGGGATGCGCTGCCCTCTGGGCCAATGTCAGGGGGATCCCCAAAATGGCTCCTTTGATTCTGCTCTTTTTCCAACATTCTGCTCAGAGATGCTGTTATGAGGAGGGTTTAATGGTGTCCTGGTGGGGTTAGTTCTGCTGGGAGGGGCCTTGCCTGGGTGGTAGTAAACTAACTGGGTTTCTTCCCAGCATGGCAAAGTCCGGAGAGTCTGTCTCCAGGGAGAGAGCCTGGGGGGAATCAGGCTGTGACATGGACTCAAGCCCCTTCTGAAACCTCCCCCATCACGCCTCTCGCCCCAACAGGCTAAAGAATCACATCTACATTTCGCTCCAGATTGTCCTGTCTTCCGGGAGACGAGGAAGAGAAATGGCTGTGATGGAGCCAGCTCAGGTAGGGGATTTTCAGGGAGCTGCAGCAGGGAGGGGTGCTGCAGATGAGGAGGGGCAGGAAACACACAGGGTGAGGCAGGGAGGGGACAGGGTGTCATAAACCTGCCATGATACGTTCAACCCGGGACCTGATTTTCTGAACAGGCCCGTTGGCGGGGGGGAACATTCCCCCATTTCTAAACCAGGAAATGCCACCCTGGGCAGGGCTGCGAAAACTGACCAGACTCCCAGTGCTGGAGCCTAAACCAACTTGGAAGGGAAATACGAAGGGAAGCTTTTGGAGTTCCTGTCCCCGGCTCAGAGCTCTGCTTCCTGTATCAGCCTGTGTCTGGCAGGCGTGTGGTAAATGAGAAGACCCTGCCCTGCTCCATGTGCGGGGGGAACAAGGTGTCTGGCTGGTCTGAGACCTGGGATGAGATTCTGTATCTCTGGCCTTTGTTGTTTCAGATGCTGGTGACCTTCGAGGAGGTGGCTGTGTATTTCACCCAGGGGCAGGGGGCTCTGCTGGACCCCGCTCAGAGAGCCCTCTACAGGGACGTCATGCAGGAGAACTATGAGACGGTGACCTCGCTCGGTAAGGGTTTCCTGTCCCCTCAGTTATTAGAAGATGCAGGGTCTGCATATCTGAATCTAGACAGGTTCTTCCCTGGTCAGTTAGATCGGAGGGGAATGGGCTCCATAATGCACAGCTGCTGTGTGAGAGAAACTTGCATCTCCGTGCCCTCTCCAATGGGACTAACTTAATGGACAAGCTAAACCATCACCACCCCTCCAGCTTTCAAAGGGGCAGAAGCCGTGTATTGTCCTATCTATATTGTTTCTCATTTCCCCACAGAATCCCTGGTCACCTCCCTCCTTGGGAATAGCTCCAGCCATGGGGAATGCTCTGGGCTCTGAAGGTTTAGAAATAGGAATGGATTTAACATTAGAGCTCTGTGTGTATCAGCAAGGCCCACAGAGTGCACAGATCCTGGAAACTCCTAGTGAGGGCATGACAATTCTCCTCACCTCCCCAGACATCTGCCTCTCCCAAGGGGGTTCTGTGACCATGTTCCCGTCCTCTTGAATTGCATGATCCCCCATCACAGACACAGGTTCAGCTCATGGAATGCCCTTTGTGTCAGAAAAAGAACAGGAGGACTTGTGGCACCTTAGAGACTAACCAATTTATTTGAGCATAAGCTTTCGTGAGCTACAGCTCGCTTCATCGGATGCATTGTGTCAGATGCTCTCTCAATCCTCTATGCACCCTGATCTGGTCTGATTTCACCCCCTGTGCAGGATTTCCCATTCCCAAACCTGAGCTGATCGCCCAGCTGGAACAAGGGGAGGAGCCGTGGGTCCCAGATCTCCAGGTCTGCAAGGAAAGAGAGATCCTGAGAGGCACCCGCACAGGTGAGGACTGACACAGAAACCATCTGGGGAATAAAGGAAAAAGCTGAGCATCCCAAAATGTGGTGTGAGTGAGTGCCCCCAGTTCTTCCTCATCTCACCCAGGGCAGGGCTGTAGTCAGCAGATATCGCTCATGACTTGCTACCCATCCTGTTAGCTGCAGGAGTTTCCTTCCCAACTTTTCTTCCCTGTGAGTGTTTGGGTGGGAAGTGGAGGCAGAATCCAATTGCTCAGTCTTCACAGCATTAGCATGTTGGGTTTTCCCTCTGTGCTATTCCTCTTTCTCCCCAGCACAATGACTCCTTTCTGGATTGTCTCTCTCCCAGCAGGTGATGAGCGAGGGAGTGAGAACGAGGAGGGGAATCATCATGAGGATGTTCCTAGGGAAGTGGAATCACAAGGGACCTTTGTGGGAAGATCTGAAGGGAATTTTTCCCAGTGCTTGGAACAGGGAGAAGCCTGGGGAAATTGGCACAGGTCAGAGAGGCTGCTGGGAAACCACCCAAGGAAAAAAGTGGATGAATCTATTATACGTGGGGGAGGAGACAAGGATCCCACAGCCCAGCAGACAAATCCCAAGGAAGAGAAACCCTACCACTGCCTGCAGTGTGGGAAAGGATTCATTCTGAGATCACAGCTTGTTACACATCAAACAATCCATAACAGCTCAGACTTTAATACCCATGGGAGAATCGACACAGGAGAGAGACGCTATCAATGCCTCAAGTGTGGCAAATGTTTTAATTGGACGTCAGCACTTATTACACATCAGGCAACCCACATGGGAGAGAGACCCCATAAGTGCTTGGAGTGTGGGAAAACCTTCAGTAACAGCTCAAATCTTACTAAACATCGGAGAATCCACATGGGAGACAGACCCTATAAATGCCTCGAGTGTGGGAACTGCTTCAGTCAGAAGACCACCCTTATTATGCATCAGAAAACCCACACAGGAGAGAAACCCCATAAGTGCTTGGACTGTGGGAAAAGTTTCACACAGAGATCAGCCCTGAGTACACATCAAACAATCCACACAGGAGAGAGACCCTATAAATGCCTCGACTGTGGGAAAAGTTTCATTCAGCGCTCACACCTTCTTCGACATCTGAGAATTCATACTGGGAATAAACCTCATAAATGCCTCCACTGTGGGAAAAGTTTCATTCAGAGAACAAACCTTATTTCCCATCAGACAATCCACACAGGAGAGAAGCCCTATAAATGTTTGGACTGTGGGAAAAGCTTCAAGAACAACTCCTACCTCACTAAACATCGGACAATCCACACGGGAGACAGTCCCTATAAATGCCTCCTCTGTGGGAAAAGTTTTGTTCTCAGTTCTGACCTGATTGTGCATCAGAGAATTCACACAGGAGAGAAGCCCTACGTATGCTTGGACTGTGGGAAAAGCTTCAAGAACAACTCCTACCTTACTAAACATCGGAGAATGCACACAGGAGAGAGACCTTATAAATGCCTCGATTGTGGGAAATGTTTCAGTCAGAAGTCATCCCTTAGTACCCATCAGACAATCCACACTGGAGAGAGACCCAATAAATGCTTGGACTGTGGGAAAAGTTTCACCCAGCGATCAGCCCTTGTTATACATCAGAGAATCCACACAGGAGAGAGACCCCATAACTGCTTGGACTGTGGGAAAAGTTTCACGCACAGATCAGCCCTCCTTAGACATCAGGCAATCCACACAGGAGAGAGACCCCATGAGTGCTTGGAATGTGGGAAACGTTTCATTCAGAGATCAACCCTTATTAGACATCAGGCAGTCCACACAGGAGAAAGACCCCATGGGTGCTTGGATTGTGGGAAATGTTTCACCAACAGATCATCCCTTATCAGGCATCAGGCAATCCACACAGGAGAGAGACCCCATAAGTGCTTGGACTGTGGGAACAGTTTCATTCAGAGATCGAACCTTATTATACATCAGAGAATCCACACGGGCTATAAACCTCATAAATGTCTGGCCTGTGGGAAAAGTTTCAGGAAGAGCTCGTACCTTACTAAACATCTAAGAACTCACAAAGGTGTGGGAGACCCCAGGAACAGCTTGATTGCAGAAAAAGATTCAATCCTAGCTCACACATCAGTGATCCACAAAACGGAGCGACCTTAAACATGGGGGAAGCTTCATTTGGTGCTCCCGGAGTATCAGGCATCCGCGAATCCGCACAGGGAAGAAACCGCTGAGATGTTCTCAGTGTGGAAAATGCTCCAAGAGGAGCTAACACCATGTTGGACTTCAGAGACGCCCCCACACAGCCAGGAAATTCTCTGAGTGCCCTGACTGGGGCTGGCCGTGGAGACAAACCCATTTCCTCATTTCCCACACACATCAGGGACGTTTGGCTTCCAAGGATCCAGCAGCCCATTGCTGGGGTGAGGATCCAGCAGCAGCTGAGCATCAGCTGGTCAGTGACCTTCTGGCTCTGCCTGGTCTAAGCAAACCCCAGGCAGAGGAGAAGCCCCCATCAGCCCCTCCTCCCTGCTGCAGCCTTGGCTGCTGAGCTGATGGGCCACACGTGGGGGAAGGGAGAGAGAGAAACTCCTCCAGACACTCCCCCTGCCTGGCTGAAGTTCCCCCCCCTCCTTTCCCCTCCCAGACGGGATCCACCTGCCATGGCGATGAGGAGAAGGACACTTGGGCCAGGCCCTACCTTCACTCTAGACAGCTGTCCCCACCCCCCATCTTCCACCAGCCCCTGGGCTGGGCTCTCCCACTTACCTGGAGCTGTTCACTCCCCTGGGGGCTGGTAACGCCTCCCCTCCCCAAATCCCCCAGGGCGCTGGGTTCTGGGGATCAAATATTGAGGGACCAGGCTGATGGATTCTGGGGTAGGAAACTGGGGATTGAATGGTTGGGGCTGGTGGAGCTGGGAAGCAGGGGGAGCTGGGTGCTGGGGTATTGAGTGTTTGGGTTTCATGGATAAGGGGCGAGGGAGAGCACGGGGTAGAGAGGTGCCTCTCCTCACAAGCCCCCTCTGCCCCTTCCCCCTGCCCCCTCTGCATTCAGACAGCGCCGCTGAGAGGGGCTGATTCCCACAGGGCCTTTTGTGGAAGGCCTCGAGATCCCACATCTGCCTCCGCAGCATCAGCCTCTGAGCGTCTGTCTATGGTAGAAAATGTGATCGGGATCAGCCAGAGTATCTCTATGACCCTGCACCAGATTTTGTGGTGTAAACTGTGTGACACTGGCCGACCAGATGCCAGCTCCTGCCAGAGCCCTAGGCCAATTCACTTTTGTATTAGGCTAGATTAAAGAGATGGTTAAATGTATAAGAGTGTATTTGGTGTTTAAACTTCATGAAAAGCAATGGGATGTTACTTGCATTGTTTTCACTTAACTATATCTTGTTATAATGTAGTAGTGAATATTTTGCATTGTGTATACCCCTGTAACGAAATAACCCATCAAATGCGGAAGAAGCCTTGTGGAATGCAAATGAACTTTAACAGAAAAAAGCTAATTTCAACGCAAGTGGGCATTGTGTGTTATGACCGGAGGTCAAAGACTCCAAATGCGTTCCTCGCTCTCTGTCATCAGAGGAAGAGCCAACGTGGGTAGTGACCCTGTCAGCCTGTTTTTTGTGAGAAGAAGCTATAAGTATGGATTTAAAGAAAGATCCTGGATCTCTGGACTGTTTGGACTCTTACAGGGAAGTGTATCAGATACAAAGCTGAGACCCCAAGGGATAATCTGGATGCTCTGAATAGACTTTTGGGAAACTGGCAGTTTATTACATCACTGCCACCCTTTGGAATAACAAAGTGTGACTCACCTGGGCATGCATCTTACCTGCTTTAACCTCTCCATAACTCTCACTTCCTTTTCTTAGCTAATGATCCTTTACTTAATTTACTATAGAACTGGCTACCAGCGTTGTCTTTGGTGTAAGATCTAGGATACCAATTGCTCTGGGGTAAGTGCCTAGTCTCTTGGGACTGGGAGCGATGTGATGTGATTTTTGGTGTAAGTGACCTTTCATCACAAAGTCCAGTTTCTCTGAGTGGCAAGACAGACTGGAGAGTCTAAGGGGACTGTCTGTGAGTCTAGGGTAAGACTGGGATAGTGATCCAGGAGTTCACATTTGTCACTGGCTTGGTGAAATCTAATTACAGGATGAACCAGCAGCTTGGGGGGGTGTCTGCCCGGTTTTCTGCCAGTCTGCCTGGAGGTCGGCATGCCCAGTTGTGAACCACTGCAGACAGTGTGACAAACTCACCTGGAGCATTTTATCTCTTCGGATCTCTCCCCCTCGCCCTCCCTCATTAGCAGTGATCATTAGTCCCTGAGTTTCCCCTGTGGGGCTGGATTGTCTCATTCCCAGATAGTCTCACATTACTCCAGGCCCTACTGAAAAGCATTTAGTGTTCGTACATTTTCTCCTTTATGGGCGAGAATTAAAAAACATGTTTAAAGAATGGGAGCAGGGACAGTGAAATGTGGTGTTTTAGCTTCTGTGCTATTTCAGGGTGATGGGGTGAGACTGAGGGATTCCCTCCTTCCCCCAGCACCGTCACACTCCACTCTCAACAGAGCAGCCTCTGTCCCAGCAATGGAGAGTTTTATCCTGTCCCCGTTCTACCCTTCCACCTCCTACGGTGTCATTTACCACCCTGTCCCTGGCTCTCCATGCCTTGGAATCACAGTTTTGATGTCTATGATCCTAAGTCAGATCCCTGAGGGCTGGAGAAAGAAGGGTCACAGACCTGGAAGGGAATCCAAATGAACCTCAAAGCACACTTTGACCTTTCTGATCTTATATCCCCATTTGCCTTTCTTGGTAAAATTGCTTCCAGTTTTTGTCTGGGCTAGTCCAGATCATTTGTAGACGGGAAGCTGGTTTGTGAGGTTTTGGTCTATTAAGATGATGCAAAAACTTTTGTAACTAACATGACCAACTGTGGTCGTGTGGTCATGAGGTGAGAAGTCAAGCAGGTTTAGCCCCTTTAGACGAAAATGGGTTCACTTATTGTCTGGATTTTGGGTCTTCAGATTCTCTGGAACTTCACTTTCTGAATATGAAAGTGTGTTGTAGCTCGCCTTGCATTGTGGCTTTTTCTCTGTCCCCCGAAGACCTTTTGGTCACATACAGTAACTCCTCCCTTAAAGTCCTTCCGGTTAACGTTGTTTCATTGCTGATTAATTAGGGAACATGGTCGTTTAAAGTGGCTCAAGGCTCCCTTCTAAAGTTGTTCGGCAGCTGCCTGCTTTGTCCACTGCTTGCAGAAAGAGCAGCCCATTGGAGCGAGCTGGTGGGGGCTTGGAACCAGGGTGGACCAGCAGCCCCCCATCAGCTCCCCGCTCCCCTAAGTTCCCTGTGTGGCAGCCGTCCAGCAGGCTATCAATTACCTGGAGTTCAGCTGTCCCTCCCCCACACTGCCATGTGCTGCTCCTGCCCTCTGCCTTGGAGCTGCTCCCGGAAGCCTCCTGCTTGCTGGGGGGGGAGGGGGTTGGGAAAGAGGGGGGCAAATGTCAGGTTGTCCCCCTCCCCCCTGTTCTTGCCCCCCCGCTTACCACATCTCTACACAGCTGGGGCAGGGACACAACAGGGCTCAGGACGGAGGGAGCTTGCTGGCAGCAGTTGCTGTCTCAACTTGCTGATCTACTTAAAAAGGCAATGTACTTAGAGTGGGGTCAGTGTACTTAAAGGGGCAATGCTCATCTCTCACACACAGTGTGTGTCTCTGTCTGCCATGCTGTGTCTCTTTCCTCCACTTGTGCTGCCTTGTAGAGTGTGAGGCTACATTAACAACAATGTGTTAACCCTTGAGGGCTCAGCTGAGTGCTAGTTCATCATTTAGCAGTAAGGCTCCCTGGGAAATATCCCACCCTCTTCCACCCTCTAACTTCACCACCTCAACCAAGCTTCACAATCATCGTTGCTGTGCATAATATTAAATGGTTTGTTTAAAACATATACTGTGTCTGTATGTGTGTGTGTGTGTGTGTGTGTGTGTATATATATATATATATAGATATATATTATATAAAATACAGTCTTTTGTCTGGTGAACAAATTTTCCCTGGAACCTAAGCCTCCCCCCCCCCCCCCCCATTTACATTAATTCTTATGGGGAAATTGAATTAGCTTAACATCGTTTCGCTTAAAGTTGCATTTTTCAGGAACATAACTACAACATTAAGCAAGGAGTTACTGTACTTGGATATTAGATTAGTAGCTCAGATTTGCTGAAGGCTTCAAAGGGCAAATTTTCATTTGCCAGAACAGTCCTTTTCAATTTAATTTTGAACTTTTTCTACCCTTATCGTGTGATTTTTTTTCTTTGAACAATGACAGTGAACAAAGGCTGAGGGTGCGAGCTAGATTCACACTCCCAGAGGCAGACACTGAAATGGGGAAGCAAGTTACTGCCTGGTCCCTGCAGTGATGTGAGACACAGTCAGGAGGGGTAGAGGGTGGCAGATGGAGATGAACAGAGCTGGGAAACTGTTGGGTTTGTTCCTCAGAGCCAGGCAGCTGAGGCTGAGAACTGTGAACTTGCTGCATCAAAGCCAGAGAGACACAGGAATTATCCTGCGAGTGTTGGGTCAAGCCCTACCTGAATTGTATAATGTTGTGAGTCCTGCCCAAGAGGAATGTTGTGTGGAGGGGGCAGCATCTCCTGATTGCTGAGAAGACAAGGCTGGGCCGAGACGAGAAGGCCAGGGATGTCAGGGGACCTGGGCAGCTTTGAAGCCAGGCAGACTCACATCGTGGAAGCCAGAGGGAGATGAGGAGCCATAGAGACCAGCTGCTCACCCCTCCCCATCTACCACTGTGCCCTGTGCGGGGACGATAGCAACTGTCTCTGCCCCACTCACCTCACACTGCATCCCTCTAACTTGAGCTCTTTGGATTCCCTGCTTTCGGGGTGTTTGCTTTTGTGATGGGTTCTCATCATTCTTCATGGCTTCTCGGCACTTTTCTCCCCATGTGTAGATGTTGCTCGTGCATGGGGGAGTTGGGTGGAGCAGTGGGCTGGGCTGGGACTGAACTGAGCTGGGCTGGGCTGGGGGTGGGGAAAGGAGTCTGTCTTTTGCTTGTCCGTTTAAATAATAAAGTAGAATTTAGTTTCTCCCACTCCCGGTCTCCATTGTTTTGCATGAAATGGCTGCCAACTGCAGAGGTAAGGTGAAAGGTTAAAGCAATGCAGACGTGGTCTGGAATGGAAATGCACAGGGAGGTCACCCAGCCAACCTCATCCCTGCCCTGTCACAGGCTCCTCAAACTCCCCTTAGAGATAAAACTCTCTTAAGTCTTGTGCCCCTCTCCCTGACCCCAGTACAAATCAGGAACACTTTGACAGCTCATGGGCTCATCCCCTTCTCCCTCACCCAGGTGCTAGGCAGGAGTAATTCCACTAGGCCACGTGACCTGTCTACACCAGTGTGAAGTTGTTGTGAGGGGAGAATCAGATACTGGCCTCTAGGTCTGTTTGCAGGAGATACAGTCACACATTGTGCGATGATAATTCTGATCGCTGAGCTGGGCTTCAGTCCAGTGCCCCTGTTCTCACAACCTCACCACCTGCCTACTTCTAGCTCAGTCCCATTGCAATCACTGGGGCTAGGGGCTGAAAGACTGTGGAAATGGGAGGAAATGTTATAGCTGAAACCACACACGTGTGTTTTGAAAGCTTAATGTTAATAGGATCTGCTTCACTCTCCTGCTTGGACATTTTCTCTGGAGATCCCGGGGACGTAAAGGAGCAAGCGTTACCATCTTGGCTGCGAATCCCCACTGTGACTATCTACACCAGTGGTTCTCAAACTATGGGGTGGGCCTCCCATGGGAGGCACGACCTGTGTCTCTGGTGGGGGTTTTTAAGAGCACCGGCTGTCCGCCCCGGGTGGCTGCGGCTGACGACGGAGGGCTATGCACATCTGGAAGGCGGGGATAAAAGGGACAGCTGGAGCTGTGCCACTCAGGCTCGGGCTCTCCTCCCTGCCCTATCCCTCACCTGGAGGAAGAGGGGCTCGGGCTGTCAGCTCCAGGTGGAGCAGCAGCAGAGAAGTCAGGGTGGCAAGGGGGTGATAAGTCTGCTGTGAACAGCGATATTAAGGAATATCACTTTTCACTCGGTCACCCTTCCTTCTGTGCTGCTTCTGGCGCTGATGCTGCCTTCAGAGCTGGGCGCCCAGCCAGCAGCCGCTGCTCTCCGCTCTGCCTTCAGAGCTGGGTGTCAGTATACGTACTTGGGAGGGTGGGGGCGTAATGTCCACGGACACAAAGAAGGGGGCCCGAGGAAATAAATTGGAGACCCACTGGTCTACGCTCTTATGGTCCCCACTTTTACAAAATGATGATAAATCTTGCACAAAGTATGTCTTGTGAGGAGGGATAGCTCAGTGGTTTGAGCACTGGCCTGCTAAACCCAGAGTTGTGAGTTCAATCCCTGAGGGGGCCATTTAGGGACCTGGGGCAAAAATTGGGGACTGGTCCTGCTTTGAGCAGGGGGTTGGACTAGATGACCTCCTGAGGTCCCTTCCAACCCTGATATTCTATGATCCTCTGAAAAGTCATTGTCTGTTGAATATTATTGTCCTGTTAAAAAGTGTGTGTCAATATTATGTATGGAGTTATGAGGTTTTGTTATATGTTTGTTACTGAAACATGCTGTAAACCAGGGGTCTCAAAGTCCCGGCCCGTGGGCCATCTGCGGCCCAAGAACCTCCCCACTGCGGCCCACGGAGGAGAGATGCCGGCAGACACGCGGCTGGCAATGTCTGCTGTAGGCACCGCCCCCTGCAGATCCCATTGGCTGCGGGAGAGGGACAGCGACACCATCACTCGTCGCCGGGCAGAGTCAGCCATGGAGGCAGCATCACTTTTTCCCACAATGAATATAAACAAGTCCAAATATCAGACACAACTCTCTGATGCCCACCTCGCTGCAGTCCTGACAGCTTCAACGGCCCGGTCACCGAGGCCAAGCAGCCACAAACTGACAGAACTGAAGCGTTGCCAGGTGTCTTGAAAACACTACAAACTCCGGCATGTGAAGAACTGTATAAAGTTGTACGGCAGTTTTATTATTTCTAAGAAATTTGAAATCAAAGCCACAATACAAACGTCTTTTCTGAACACCATCTTCAGTGACATTATTGGCCCGCTGGGAGGAGTTGAGGACTGGCCCTGGCCCTAAGGTAAATTGAGTTTCAGATCCCTGCTGTAAATCTTGAAAACGCCCACAGATTCGCTCCTGAAAGCCAGGTGCTAGGTGGGCATTAATTGCTTAGCCAGCCATTCACCAGTGGAGTAGGGGGAGTCGTGAACAAGAAATTTACAATTCACCTGAAGGATGGTTGGAAGCTCACATGTGCCACAGACTGATTGTCGCCTGCCCCCTACATCTGGGGGTGAACCTCAAAGAGAAGAGTGGTATAAAAGCACAAGGGAGAATTGCCTCCATTTTCACCTCTCCTCTCCCATCTTTACAGAAGGCAACAAGATGGCTTGAAAGACAAAAACAGGAGCATTGAACTGGGGAGGGTGGACCAAGGCTGGAAGGAAGTCGGCCTGGATGCTAAGAACTGTAAACTGTCTGCAACATCGGGCGGGTTGAGAAAAGCTGTTTGGTACAAATCTTACTGAGCGTGGTAAAGTCTGGGATTTAAGATGCGTGTTTACCTTTTATTTTTGCGGTAATCAATTCCAACCTTTTATGCCTTTGTCACTTGTAACCACTTAAAATCTACCTTTCTGGGGTTGATAAACTTGTTTTATCTAAACCAGTGTGTTTTCATCGAAGTGTTTGGGGAATTTCACTTCAGAGAACAAGGCTGTTGTCTGATCAGCATCCTTTGTGGCGATGACAAACTAACTAATGAGCTTGTACAGCACAGTGAAAGGGCTGGACACTACGAGACTCATGTTTCTGTGGTGCAAGGCCGGGACTAGGGAACTGGCTGATGTTACTCTGTAGTTTACTTCATGAGCGGCTGCGAGCGGCTGCACTCAGTCCTGTGTAGCTGGGAGTGACTTTGAAGGCTTGTGGCTGTGTGGGAGAAGAGCCTGGAGGGGGTTCTTGTTCACACAGGGAAGCAGTGTGAAAGATGCCCTGGGGTGGAGAAATCAGCAGTTCAACAGTCCCAATTGTACCCTGGGGTATGCCTGACACCCGCTGTCCCCTGGGACTCAGCATGGCACCATTGGGCTCTCATCATCCTGATGCTGAAAGACGACCTGAGCAAGGCTAACCAGAGAGGGGGAAACAGTGGACATCCTCAACTCCACTGACTTTGGCTAAATCCTGAACTTCCCCCTGGGATATGAGACTTGGGGGTCTGCTGTCACCCTTCCCCTCCTGCATCATTTCCCTTCCCCACCTTACTTCTCCTCTCTCTCCTTTTTCTTTCTGGCTCAGCCCGTCCAGTCAACGCCACCTTTTGCACCAGTGCTGGTGGCCTGTGACCGGAGAGGCAGCTCAAAGCAAAGCCTTAACCTGCCCAAAGCGAGAAGTTTTCCAAGTCTCACAGGGGCTGATCAGCTGGTGGCCTGTGCCCGGGTTTCCCCTGCAGGGAGGCTGCAAGTGAGACTGAGCCCTGGCAACAGAAGCCTCTATGCAGGATGTCCCCTTAATGCTGAGAGAAGCTGGCCAAGCGCAGGCGAGGTAGGGGCCCCGGGAGGCAGGGTCTGGGGCAGGGGGCTGCAGCGTGGTGGGTAGATCGCTAGGACCCAGGAGCGGCTGGGGGGCGGCTCTGCGGGGAGCGATCGCTGGGCTCAGGCCCGGCCCAGGAAGTGACTCGCAGCCGCTGCGGGGACTCTGGCTCCCGGCGAGATCCCCGAGCCCCGGCGGCTGGTGCTGGGAGCCCGGAGCCCGGGCTGCAGCCGGGAGAGGGGAACCTCCAGCCGGGCCCTGCCCGCTGCTCCCCGGGAGCCTCTCCCAGGGCAGAGCCCCCAGCCCGGCCAGGGCCCCTGCCCCGGGGGGGGCCCCGCTCGGAGGGAAGGTAAGAGAGACCCGCCCCCGCCCCGGGAGCGGTGCCACCCGGGCTGCAGGGGGCGGTTTTGTCCCCAGGCTGCTCCCCGCGGAGCCGGCTGCGATTCCCTGCCCTGGTTCCGGGAAAGCTGCCGCCAGCTCCCGGTGTGTGCGGGGCGGGGGGAGCCAGCCCGCACCGTGCTGGGGGCTGGGACAGCGACATGTGTGGGGCAGAGGCGGGGGAGCCGGGAGGGGACGGAAGGGGGGCGGGTGTGGGCAGAAGGGGATTGAGGGGGGAACAGGGATGCGTTAGGCGACGGAAGGTCCTGGATGGGGACGCAGGGGATAGGCTGGGGGGCAGGGAGGATGGGGCGATGCAGGGGAATCGGGGGGGATTATGGGGCTGAGGGGAACGAGGCTGGAAGAGAAGGAAAATGTGACTGGGGGGCACTGCGAGGGAAAGGGGGGAGGTGGGGAGGGGACGGTGAGAGCAACAGGAGACAGGCCTGGGGAGGGGAGCGCCCGGGGGCAGGGAGCAGGCAGAGGGGTGGGGAGAAATACAAGGCAGCTCCCCCGCCCCATGGGGTAGGACAGGGTGGGGGGCTGCCCCTCCCAGCAGCCAGACGGACATTTTTTCCTCTAAACTGGTCAAACTAACATTGTGCTGGGCGGGGGCAGGAGACTATCCTCTCACGGCTCAGAAACTACAGGGCAAATATCCAGCCTCCCCCCAGTTTGTTAAAGACACACCCGTGCTGGTGGGGTCCGTGTCTCCTGAGCGTTCGGGGCTGCCCAGGGCCCTGGTCTGATTTCCAGGCAGGATCCAGATCTCAACCACACCGGAGTCAGACCGGAGTCACTGCTGGCTCTGAGCGCGGATGGGCCAGCGGGATCCGCCTCCGCCTGCCTGTCCCTGGGGGCTGCAGGGGCAGGACAGGGAGGCTCAGGCATGAGCTGCTGCCACCAGAAGGCTCCGGGTCTGGCTGAGGGAGAGGAGGAGGCTGGCCTGTGGGTCTCTCTGCTCAGGATACAGCTCTGGAGTGGAGCTCCCTGGGTCAGAAGCTGCTGCCTCCTGCATTTAGACCTGGGAGCCCAGACTGAGACGCTGCTTGTTACCCAGCAGAGGAGAGACCTTTGTTAAAGCCCCTCTGTGCCCAGCCCAGGTGGGGAATTTCTCCGGTGGCTGGAACCAGCCCCTGGGGCAGCCCCGGGCTCTGAGGACACCAGCCCCTGAGCTGCAGCCTGCAGGTGATGGGGAGACCCCGGGGACAGGGCTGAGGCCGGGCAGGAAAGTGACTCTGCACAAAGGGCCACTTTCCAGGACCTGCTGGTGAGTTTGGCCTATGTGGGGAGGGGGCTCCCTGTGTGTCTGCAAGTCCCAGAGCTGCTGCCCTCATGGGCACAGCCAGGTTCAAACCCCTGTTAGCCATGGCAGTGGCTGATCTGCCTAATGAGAGCAAAGGCACATGTCAATGGGGGAGTCATTTGTTCTCCCAGGGCGAGGGAAGATGATAAAAAGGGAGAAAGGAGAGACTGGAAGGGGCAGCAGGAGCAAGAAGTGGGGAGGGAGGTTCCCAGCCCTGCCCAGATCCATTCTCTGCATCCCCCTGGGAAGACTGACTCTCCTGGGAACAAGGCGAGGAGCTGAAGGAGGAAAACCAGTTCCTGACTCCGCTGAACACCACATGACTTGGGGGAAGAGTGGGAGTTAGAGGGGGTGACACGACAATGTCAGGGGGTGACATGAAAATGTCAGGAGAAATCCACCAAAGTAGCTCCTTTGAGTCTGCTCTTTTTCCAGAGTTTGGCTCAGAGATGCTGTTACGGGGAGAGTTTAAAAGTACCCCGATGGGTTTAGTTCTGCAGGGAGGGGCCTGGCCTGGGTGGTAATAAACTAGCTGGGTTTCTTCCCAGCGTGGCAGAGTCCAGAGTGCCTCGCTCCAGGGAAAGAGCCTGGGGGGAATCAGGGTGAGAAATGGACTCAAGCCCCTTCTGAAACCTCCCCCATCACCCCTCTTGCCCTGACAGGCTGAGGAATCACATCCACATTTCGCTCCGGATCGTCCCCATCCCGTCATCTGGGAGACAGGAAAGGGAAATGTCTGTGATGGAGCCAGCTCAGGTAGGGAATTTTCAGGGAGCTGCTGGCAGCGGGAGGGAGAGGCAGGGAGGAGACAGGGTGTGAGAAACCAGCTGATTTTCTGAACAAGCCCATTGGCGGGGAACATTCCCCCATTTCTCAAACAGGAAACAAACCCCCTGGGCAGGGCTGGGAACATTTCCAGTGCCAGAGCCTGGACCCACTAGCCAGAGGCTGCTGTGAAATACAAAGGGAAGCTGTCGGGATTCCTGTCCCCTGCTCAGAGCTCTGCTACCTATATCAGCCTTTGGCTGGCAGGCATATGGTAAATTAGAAGACTCTGCCCTCCTCTGTCTGCTGGGGAGGACAAGGAGCTCTCACCTTCTCCCCACCCCCTAAAGCCTCCTGGCTGCTTTGAGCAAGGTGTGGGTGAGATTCTGCTACTCTGGTCCTCCCAGAGCTTCCAAGATGTTTTTCTTTTTCTTTCTTCCTTTCCCATGTGACTAGCTGGACTGTGGCAGGGGCAGCAGGTGCTGAGAGGGGGACTCCTGTTGTTTCAGATGCTGATGACCTTCGAGGAGGTGGCTGTGTATTTCACCCAGGGGCAGGGGGCTCTGCTGGACCCCGCTCAGAGAGCCCTCTACAGGGACGTCATGCAGGAGAACTACGAGACGGTGACCTCGCTGGGTAAGGGATTCCCGTCCCCTCAGTTATTAGAAGCTGTGAGGTCTGCTTTTCTGACTCTGGTCAGGTTCTTCCCTGGTCAGTTAGATTGAAGGGGAATGGGTTCCATAATGCACAGCTGCCGTGTGAGAGAGACTTGCACCTCCATACCCTCTCCAACGGGACAAGGGTGTCAAAATCTAATGGACATGCTAAACCCTCCCCACCCGTCCAGCTTTCAATGGGGCAGAAGTTGTTCATCGTCCTCTCTGTATTGTTTCTTCTTCACACACAAAATCCCTCTTCACTTCCCTTCTTGAGAATAGCTCCAGCCCTGGGGAAGACTCTGGGCTCGGCAGGTTTAGAAATAGGCAGGGGTCTAACTGCAGAGCTGTGTGTGCATCAGCAAGGCCCCAGAGTGCACAGATCCTGGGAACTCCTTGTGAGGGCATAACAATTCCCCTCACCTCCCCAGACGTCTGCCTCTTCCAAGGGGGCTCAGGGACCATATTCCTGTCCTGATGGAGTCCATGTTCCCCCAGCAGAGCATGGCCACAGGTTCCACTCACGGAATGTCCTGTGTGACAGACACTCTCCCAATCCTCCATGCACCCTGATCTGGTCTGATTTCACCCCCTGGGCAGGATTTCCCATTCCCAAACCCGACCTGATTGCCCAGCTGGAACGAGGGGAAGAGCCGTGGGTGCCCGATCTCCAGGCCTGCGAGGAAAGAGAGATCACGAGAGGCACCCGCACAGGTGAGGACTGACACAGAAACCATCTGGCAAATGAAGGAAAAAGTTGAGAATCCCAAAAATATAGTGTAAGAGCCCTCAGTTCTTCCTCATCTCACCCAGGGCAGGGCTGTAGTCAGAAGATATCATTCACACCATTCCACCCAGCCTGTTAGCTCCAGGAGTTTCCTTCCCATCTTTCCTTCCCTGTGAATGTTTGGGTGGGAAGTGGAGGCAGAATCCAATTGCTTAGTCTTCACAGCGTTAGCGTGTTGGGTTTTCCCTCTGTGCTATTCCTCTTTCTCCCCTGCACAGTGACTCCTGTCTGGATTGTCTCTCTCCCAGCAGGTGAGGAGCGAGGGAGTGAGGAGGAGGAGGGCAATCATCATAAGGATGTTCTTGGGGAAGTGGAACCACAAGGGACCTTTATGGGAAGAGCTGAAGGAAATTCATCCCAGTGCTTGGAGCAGAGGGAAGCCTGGGGAAATTGGCACAGGTCAGAGAGGCTGCTGGGAAACCAACCAAGGGAGCAAGAGGAGGAATCTATTAAATGTAGGGGAGGAGATAAGGATCCCATAGCCCAGCAGACAAACCCCAAGGAGGAGAAACCCTACCACTGCCTCAAATGTGGGAAAGGATTCATTCTGAGACCACACCTTCTTACACTTCAGACAATCCATACTGTAGAGAAACCACTTCAATTCTTGGACCATGGGGAAAGCTTTAATAACCATGGAAGAAGCCACAAGGGAGAGAAACCCTATCAATGCCTTGAGTGTGGGAACTGTTTGAATCATAAGACAGCACTGATTACGCATCAGATAAGCAACACAGGAGGGAGACCCCATAAGTGCTTAGAATGTGCAAAAACTTTCATTCGGAGGTCAGACCTTGTCAGACATCAGGCAATCCACACAGGAGAGAGACCCCATAAGTGCTTAGACTGTGGGAAAAGTTTCATACGGAGGTCAGACCTTGTTAAACATCAGGCAATCCACACAGGAGAGAGACCCCATATGTGCTTGGACTGTGGGAAAAGTTTCACACGAAGCTCATCCCTTCTTCAACATCAGGGAATCCACACAGGAGACAACCCCCATAAGTGCTTAGACTGTGGAAAAAGTTTCATATGGAGGTCAGACCTTGTTAAACATCAGAGAATCCACACAGGAGCGAGACCCCATCTGTGCTTGGACTGTGGGAAAAGTTTCATTCAGAGGTCAGACCTTGTTAAACATCAGACAATCCACACAGGAGAGAGACCCCATAAGTGCCTGGACTGTGGGAAAAGTTTCATACGGAGGTCTGACCTTGTTAAACATGAGGCAATCCACACAGGAGAGAGACCCCATAAGTGCTTGGACTGTGTGAAAAGTTTCATATGGAGGTCAGACCTTGTTAATCATCAGGCAATCCACACAGGAGAGAGACCCCATAAGTGCTTGGACTGTGGGAAAAGTTTCATACGGAGATCAGCCCTTGTTAATCATCAGGCAACCCACACTGGAGACAGACCCCATAAGTGCTTGGACTGTGGAAAAAGTTTTATTCGGAGGTTTGACCTTGTTAAACATCAGTCATTCCACACAGGAGAGAGACCCCATAAGTGCTTGGACTGTGGGAAAAGTTTCATACAGAGGTCAGATCTTGTTAAACATCAGGCAATCCACACAGGAGAGAGACCCCATAAGTGCTTGGACTGTGGGAAAAGTTTCATACGGCGATCAGCCCTTGTTAGTCATCAGGCAATCCACACAGGAGAGAGACCCCATAAGTGCTTGGACTGTGGGAAAAGTTTCACACAGATATCACACCTCACTAAACATGAGAGAATCCACACAGGATCTAAACTTCTGTGACAGATGGCCAGAAAGGGTTAAGAAACTTTCAGGCTAATTGACCCAGATTCAACCTTTAGAGACACATTCGAAAAGTGTGTAAATGGTATTGATGGCTATTCCACGTTAGATAGACTAGAACTCTGAAATGTAAACTTGTATTGTTAAAGAATTGGAAGAAGATGGTAACTGTAGTAGTCTATATTTACCTATATCTTGTTAGAGATTAACAGTATAATCAAACGGTTCCTGTCTAGGGCTCTATTCTGTTAATTTAGAGATCAAAGGGAAATATTAACATTTAGATGAAATTTGTGTGTCGTAATGTCATTGCCTCTTTTTTTATTTCTGGTAAACTCTCTGTGAACTGCTTTATGGATAAATGTCTTACGTTAATGCCTATAATTAATTACCGTTGATGTTTAGGAACTAGACAGTTACTTCAACAGCCTATTGTTCACCCAAGGGCTGCGTGCTGACCGGAGGCTGCAAAAATCTCTTGAAAAGCTTTTGGGACCTGATCCTTTTCTCTCAGATCTTTGTTAGCTTTATTCAGGGGGGTGGGGGGCGTTTGATTCGTAAGACTGAGATCTTCCGTCCCATCCTCACTGCCCTGATAGTGAACATTTGGACATTGGACTAGAATGTGATTAAATGATTCTGAGAAGGATTCTTTGCAATTCTAAAACACCATCTCTACTATGAAACGGCCCTAAGGACTCTAGGCATGTCTGTATGTATAATGAGCTTTTAACCAATACATTCTCTCTTTTCTTCTTTTAATAAATCTTAGTTTAGTTAATGAGGATTGGCTGCAAGCGTGTATTTGCGTAAGAACTGAAGTATTCATTAACTTGGTGGGTGATGTGTCTGATCCTTTGGGATTTATAGAACTTTTTATCTGATGAACCAGATTTTCCGTAATCCCTATCATATTTCACTGGGCTGTCTGGGAGGGAACCCAAGGCGGGGTTGCTTTAAGGGAGCCGTGCTTTGGCCTCTGTGTAGCCGGTAAAGCGTTGTAGAAGCTGTTTTGTTGCTGGCTTGGTGAATTGAAGTATTGGAATATCCACCAATTTTGAGGATTGTCGGCCCCATTCTTTACAGTTTGCCTTAATTGGCTCCCAAGGATCCAGCTGTCTAAGCAAACCCCAGGCAGAGGAGGAAAAGCCCCGATCAGACTCTGCAGCCCTGGCTGCTGAAGTGATGGGCCACAGGTTGGGGAAGGGAGAGAGAGAAACTCCTCCAGCCCCTCCCTCTGCCTGGCTGAAGTTCCCCCCTCTCCCTTCCCTTCCCAGCCGGGATCCCCCTGCCATGGCGATGAGGAGAAGGACACTTGTGCCAGGCCCCACCTTCACTCTAGATACCTGATCCCAACCCCCATCTTCCACCAGCCCCTGGACTGGGCTCCCCCACTTATCTGGAGCTGTTCCCTGCAGGGGGAGTGTCCCTGGGGCTGGTAACTCCTCCCCTCCCCGAATCCCCCAGGGCGCTGGGCTCAGGGATTAAATGGGGGAGGTGATCAGCTGTTTCCTGCTGTCGAGGACTTGAACCCCAGTCGGCAGGGTTTGTTGTCTGACCGGAGAGAGACAGGCAACACCAGCAAGGTCTGAACTCAAAGCTCTTTATTGAAGAGTGCGCACAACAATAGAGAGCAGCCCGTCTCCAAAGAGAACCAGCCAGCCTCGAAGTAAAACTCATAGGTTTTTATAGACAGTCCCGTCGCGTCACAGATTTATTCATAAAGCAGCCCACCCCTCCCCATGTTAGTTGAAATTGGTAAAAATGCTAAAGAAAAAGAAGTTTTACTTCGAGGCTGGCTGGTTCTCTTTGGAGACGGGCTGCTCTCTGTTTTTGTGTACACTCTTCAATAAAGAGCTTCGAGTTCGGACCTTGCTGGTGTTGCCTGTCTCTCTCCGGTCAGACAACGAACCGTGCCGTCTTGGGTTCGAGTCCACAACAATTTGGCGACTCCGCCGGGACCCGTCTGACTCTCCGGCGTGGGGTCAGACTCTAAAGCAACGCAGCGCACATCTTCCGGTTTCGAGGAGCCTTGCCAGTGATCTGATCCCTGCGTCGGCGATAAGGCGTGTTCTGTGAACCAGCAGGAGCCCATAGAAATCCAGCAACGTCCACCTACCGGTTGACTAGGCTCCAGATTCAGGTCTTCGGGGTTTGAGTCCCTGGAGGAGGTCTTCAGGGTTCGAGTCCCTGGAGAGGTAAGCGATCGCTTGATAATAAGAGTTGGGGATTGTGGGTTTGAGTCCCCTTTCCTCCTAGGATGGGACAATTTGGCAGTAAATGCCAAGGGGACGTCCCGTTGTCTCTGATACTCAGAGATTGGAAGGGAATCTCTGGAACTACTGGTTTAACTAAATCAAAAATGAATAATTTATGTCAGGTTCAATGGCCAGCTTTCACCACTCATTTGTCCCTGACTAAAGATTGGCCAGCCTATGGAACTCCTTCCGCAGACAGGATGGATTCCTTAAGAGATATTTTGGTCGATCTTAGACCGGGACAAATGGATTATTTGTTTGTATGGTATAATTATAAGCCAAAAGAAGGACGTCCTCTTTCCTCCTCCTTTTCTTATTCATCTCAGGGGTTTCCAGCCCCGCTCTGTGCTATGCCTGCTTCTGCCCCTCCTCCGGCTTTCCCTCGGCTTTCTGACCTATGCCCAGGACCAGCTGCAAGCCTTAAGAAAGGACTTCCAGGCAGAAAAGGAATCACTGGCTAAGCAAGTACCAGTCCTTCAGAGACTTGTCAAAATTTAACCTTTTGTGCTCAGCATATGCCGTAACAACAGTGTGTCTGCCATAAGAGGAAATTATATAGTTAAACCGTCAATTGGCCGTGCATTCTGTCCAGGTGACAAGCCTCACGGGGGAGGACTCGGGTAGCCCTTTTGAGTGAGAATATTTAAGAGAAGAGACCAGGAGGGCTGGGGGCTAGTTAAGAAGCCCACCCTCCTTGTGAAATTAGTAGTGGAACAAAGCTGGTGCTCATGGAAGGGACAGTTCAGAGAGAAAAACAGGATCGGGCCCAAGCGGGCAGGCAACAGATAGAGAGATTGGAAAACAGGTTAGAAACTTGGAGGGCGTAGTGAAAAAAGAGGAGTAAATAATTACAGGAATGGGAAACGTAAATCCCGGAATAATACCTGGAATGGTAAAATCTGAGTTGATTGGGGTGTCGTTTTGGAAAATAAGCAGGTGATTTAAGGAAAGAAAGTGAGAAGTGAACTCTGTAGTTGCTGGAGGGAATTATGCTAAAGAAAAAGAATTTTTGGTTTCTTTGCAGCCATTCTGAAGGGAAAATGGGCCTTTTTTTCAAAGAAATGTCTGTAAATAAATCCAGGCAAAGAGACTATGTGATTGAAATCATTTGGCTCTGAAAAATTTAGTCAAATTAGCTAAAAGAACATAAGGGGTTTTATTGGAACTTAACCGCCCAAATGTATAAAGGAATGTAAATATATAGTGCTACTTAATTAAGATCCTATTAGACTCTAAGGGGCTACAATGGTTGGTGTTTTCCTTTTTAGAGTTGTGTGTTGTGAAAACAGGAGTTAAAAGTAAAAGGCAATCAAAAGTCTGATAAAGTTTATTGTGCCCTTTTTAAAGTAAAAGTCTTTAAGCTGTGGATCCAAAAGCAAGCCCGAAAGCATTTGTTTTAATGTAAATTACCTAACTGATAAAGCCACTGAAACCTGGGCTGCCTATGAAACAAATACAAGAAAATATGGGTAATTCCTCTGTTTTGCCTGCAATTAACAAGGGTATTTGTATAAAAAGGAAATATTTTAAGCAATGACTGACTGCCCAGAAGGGGTAGATCTGTGTTCTTTTTGTCTTTCAGAAAATCAGAGAAAACTGATGCCAGCTGAAAAGCAATTCAACATCTCATGAATTTACAGGCACAATAGGAATTCTGTTCTGTGTTCTATGTCCTGTCTTGTGGTGTTTTGTCTTGTGGCCAGAATTGCTCTGTTTAATTTTTCATAGGACAGTTTAGTTTAAAACTAAACAGAAGGGTTAAATCAAAATGCAGATGCTTCTTTTATTCAACTTGGAATACAAAGTGTTTGGATAATATCAGGAAAGTGTGATATACTAAAGTTTAATACATTTGCTTAAGAAAGAAAAATAAATTTCATTGGCCAGATCTTTTAATTGAAAAAAATTGTTGTTAAAATTCACACACCAACAGTCTTTGGAAGCAAGGACATGAAAGTTTAACCCACTCCCCATATTATACATGGGATCCTTCTGGCTGCCTCAAATTTCTAGCCAGGCTGAGGAGGGAGGAAAGCTATTGGACACCAGAGGTTGTACCAAGTGGACTCCTCAAAAGTGGGTGTGCTTGTCCTGGCTTGTTGCTCCAAAGCTCCGTAATAAAGTCATTTTCCTCGAAGGGTGTATGTGGCATACATTGAACAGTAAGACGAAAGTGCTGTATAATGGGCAATGTATATGTGTTCATTTTTGAACAAAGGTGTGTGAGTGGAAAATGAAAGTTTTCTTTGCAGGTTAATAGAAGCCAAGAAGGGGAGAAGGAAAAGAATGGAAGACAAGCTAATTCAACGCTGTAGCTGGCAGGCTCGGTCCAAAGATAAGACGCTGGCCTGCCCAAGGACACCACTCACCGCTAGGATTTGGCTGACGGCCAAGAAAGAGGGGGGCTTGAATGTGCCCAAGCAGCTGTGAGATCTGCAAAATACTGCCAGACATTAATGAAATGTGTTAGGTCTCTGTAGTTACAGGTGAAAGAAGTCCTACTCCAAGGATCCTGAGCAAACCTGCCATTTGTTAAAACCGGGTGACTGAGTCTACATAAAGGTCCATCAATGAAAGACTATTCTGGCCCCGTGCTGGAAAGGCCCTTATTAAGTCCTGCTAACTACCAACACTGCTGTGAAGTGCCAAGGACTGACTGCCTGGACCCATGCTTCTTACTGCAAAAAGACCCCTCCACCTCAAGATGACTTCACTTCGACTACTGATCAGCCTGTCCCTCCTTCTGGGTTTTTTTCTTTCCTCCTTTTGGACAGCAGGGGAAAGGACAAGGTGAAGTGCTAGTAACCTCTCCCTTGTCCACTGACAGAGCTAACCTGTATTGCACCGCTAGGGAACCTGACCTGGAAAAAGGTTCCCCAGAAGCAGACGGCATCGGACTTTGAGGGAGCCACGCACGTTCACCCCACCGTGAACCGGGTGAATCAGAAGCAGACGACATCTGTGCTCAAGACAAATGGACTGCCACCCCTTTGGGCGACCTGAAGCTCCAGCTGCAGCTAAAAAAACCTTGAGTTGGTGGTGTCCTCTCAGGGAAAGATGGCCCCGTTCTCTAAGCTGTGTTCTTGTGTTTTTAATCTGTTTAGTATTTGTTACCTTTCTTTTCTGGTGGTACGGGGAGTTGAGACTATAGAATCACACAGTTCTAACACATTTATACGTCTTGCCCATGAAATGAAATCTCGTATGCCAGCCCTACAAAACACTTCATGCTGGATGTGCTCATTAATACCAGCAGATAGCCAAAAAGGTCTTCCCATGGTTCCTATTCCCTTCAGTGCAATGAATATGACCTGGACCCCGTCCTGAAAAAATTCTTCAGGTAATTGAAATATTACCTGTGCTGATACCGGCATCTCTGAAAGCAGATATCTAATAGTTTGGAAACGAGTTGGTCAATGGTGCCTCTTGAAAGAAGGGAAAATAGCTTTGGGTAATAGTGAGTGCAAAGCCTACTTTAATGGCACTCATTTTGGGAGTAAGAGAGGTCCTAATATCTCTCTCCTGGA